TATATAATACAGATAGTTACTTTTACGTGGAGCCGACCCTGATAACTGAGGATAAATATATGATGCTGGCCCAGGGATTTTAAAATAGTCAAGCTCTTCAATTAACTATTTTTAAGTCTATTACATTTAGATATAAATATTATTTATGTTTTTTATTATCTGAATTATTTGGGAAAGAAATTTAATACTAATTTGTTAGAAAATTTTAATAGTTTTCTTAAACTATTTTTAAATCAAATTAACACAGAAGAGAATTAAGGTGTAAGAATAATAACAATATTAATATAGAATTTAAACTTGATAAATAACAAACATTAAATAATTTATTTAATTAGTTCATTCTAATAAATATAAATAATGAAAACTCAATTGAGATGGTTATGTAACTGTTGCATGTCAATTACTCGCTCTAACAAACGCATCTGGCTATTACATCTGATGAAGAAGATATAAATTTATATGTGGTACTGCCTTCTGGCAAATATCATACTTAATTGATCTAGGTAATATTTAATTAAGTTATTATTTTACTTTTTAGCTTAATCATCTTCTTATGCGTACGGAATCAAATATAAATCATTGATAAGCAATCCCTCAATATTCCAAAAACAAGTGTAAAAATACTCTAAATATTCCAATCTAATTCTAAAATTTAATTAAACCTGCTTTGTGATGGATTTCATTTAATTGGAAAAAAATTTCTTTCTTACAGTAATAAAGAGTTAACCAAAAACTCAAAGTAAAGTCCAATATTTTCAAGCATCACTTGATAAAACAATTATTATATAAATCAAATTAATAGGTAGAATCAAGCAACAAATAATATCTGTAATAGAATATCTATCTCTAATCTAAGTATTAAATAAAGATTCAAAAATGTGATTTAAACTAAAGAGTGTTTCACATTTCTTAACTATAAAAAATATCATCATTTCACATTAATGTAAACATAAAACTGTTTAATTTTTGGAAAATCATTAATTAATTAAGTTAGTGTATGATGATAAGTAGTTCTAATTTTATTTGAAGATATTTATGTAATGGTAGATAATATTGTTTAAGAATTTGGATGTTCACTCTTTATATCTGCTATATAATTGACAATTCATTTCATATAAGAAATGAATTGTCCCAAAAACAGATTCAAAAACAATATCATTTATAATCATATAGTAATGCATAATCAACCAATCTCCAATCTTTTATTAAGTTTATTTTAATTTGTAAAATATTTTAAAAAATAATTATATTAATTAATCAATTATATATTATCAGAAACAAATTTCTTAATTTTCTAGAAGGCGAAGTATTTTAGATAATAAATGCTATAATTTTAGCTGATTGTAAATAAGCATTCAAGACAAAAAATTGGGGCAACCAGGACTCTAATTTATTTATCATTTTAATCTTTCTATGTTATTTTCTTTACATTTTTGAATCCTTAAATTGCTTCATAAACTTTGCTATTTTTTAAAAATATAAAAAGGAAAATAACAGATATAATAAAAGAAGCGGTCATTATGTATAGTGTCTAGAATATTATTATTAAAATTACAGTATAATAATAATAAAATATTGACAAAAAATTTTTTATTACCAAAATCACAAAAAAAAAAAATTTACTAATAATCTAAGCATCATTTTATCACACATCGAAATTAATATTTTAATTTTAAATCTGAAATTTATTAGGTAATTCAAGGAATTAATAAAATTCTAGATAAATAGAGTATCTAAATATTTGCTTTAAAA